GGGAATAGCCACCATTTTGAACTAGAGTTCACCGAGATGACAATGGAAGTGAGGTTAAGTGAATGCTTGTTTTTTGGCTGACATTTGATAGGATTTACGGGTATGACATAATAAGGTCAATGACTTCTTACGGCTCACTCACGGCCCCATTACAAGTCACCTGCAAGCCTGTGTTTCGCCATAAAATCAATCCCAGTCTTTTACAAAAATAAAAATATTTCTCTCAATTCTCAGTTTTATCATAAAACAGGACTGGTACAATTAAGACTATATAGATTTATGTAAATATATCTATGTAATCAAGATCGCAGAAACCTCGATCGAGCGCTCAAAGAAATTCAATATGTTAATTAATTACTTATGTAATTGAGAGGCGCGAAGTACTCCACTCGACCAAGCACGGCACAAGCGCCAAAAATAAGTCAAGTTTTGAGGTAAGAAATAACGCTCAGTTCAAATAAATCATTGGTAATCTTATCTGTCATTTGAAAACATTGTAGTACTTTCAAATTCACTATCAAAATTCTAGAATTATGTACTAAAACTTTCGCTTTTATATTATCTATTCTTTTCGTACATGTTTACATTAATTTGTTTTGGTAATTATAACATTCAMAAGAAAGCTTATTTACGAGCATAGTTGTTTTGTTTGAGGTTGAGATCTTGTGTTTTGTGCAGTAGTATAGGCTAGGTATTKTCAATATATTTTAACTAGACAATACATAAACAAGATATCATATTTATAAACATGTAATTATACTATACTTGTCCTTCACATTTTGCATTTGCTCTCGTATTTATAATTACATCATATTCAAACTGCACAGCTGTTAATCGATATTTCAAAGCTATTTTGAAAGCGTTATTATAGTATAATCTGAACGATTAAAGAGAAAAAACGACCGCGCTTGACTCTGTAAAGATTAAATCATATCACTGTGGGAGATTCTAGTCACGAGAAACCACGTGTACGAGTTCAAACACGAGTGCAAATATTAAAAGCGTGAAAAAGGATACTAACCAAACACTGCTAAATTGCTAAAAAAAGGTGTGAATTAAACAATGGAAAACAAGGGAATTCGCATAATTCAATAAAATTTAGCACTACATAATAAGTAAATTATTTTAATGGTTTTAGCGTTTCTACTCTCTAAAAGCGTGAAGAGTGAAGTCAAAAAACATGTGAAATAGATACTTTACTAATACACCTTCAMACACTTGTCAAATTTTAGAGTCATTTTCATCCGTCTGTGAAACAATTACTACYAGTCAGTGTTTAATAGTAACTATTAGGGTGTAGTAGGCTATAAAAAGGCAAAATCAAAACCGTGTTTGCTTAATTAGTTTGTGCATAGTTAACTATGGTTTGTGGCATGTCATATGTTA